CGGCCGTCAACCAACACCCCCAGGTCTTTACCACTTGACCACTTTCCCACCACTCTTCCCCCAGCCTGTAACTGCATGGAGTTTTTGTGGCCAAAGTGCAGGACCCGGCACTCGGCCTTGTTGAACCTCGTGCCGTTGGTCTCAGCCCATCGATCCAGCCCGTCCAGATCCCTCTGTAGAGCCTTCCTGCCCTCCAGCAGATCAACACTCCCACCCAACTCGGTGTCATCTGCAAAGTGACTGAGAGTGCACTTGATCCCCTTGTCCAGATCATCTGTAAAGTTGTTAAACAGCACCGGCCCCAAAACTGAGCCCTGGGGAACACCGCTAGCGACTGGCCGCCAACTGGCCAGTTCAACGAGATGTTCAATGGGCCACATACGGGAACAGTTGTTGGCATCTTGTTACCGTGTCCTGTCCTAAAACAACACACTGTTTGCGGTAGTCTGCAGAACATGAGCTCTGAAGTGTAGTATTACAAAGAAACATCCTTACTTTTACAGCAGACTCAAAATCCAAGGGAAAGTCTTTTTCAGAGGAACATCCAGCTGCAAAACATCAGTGGCTTAGGACACTAATACCATTAGATTCTCTGTTCCTTGCTTGTCACTACAGTGTAGCTTTTCAGTCCATTAACTTCTGCTTTGACCTTCTTCTGGCAAACTCCTTTTAGCCCACAGAAGCAGAGCGTTTAATAACGTCTCTCTCAGAAAGCAGCCAAACAAGAACAAATGCTGCAGAACAAGTCTCCTACCCTCATTTCCCAAAACATGCAGGCCTGAACCTGTGGAAAGATTACCTTGTTATATAACCTATCTGCAGCGGAGGCTGCAAACCTCTCAAAAACCAGACCAAAAGTTAAGTAAAGTAACTTACATTCCCTGCAGCTCAGGCTGGGGAGAGATCATCCTTGTGCAGCCAGACTGTAAAGCAATATAATCCAGTTGCTTGAGTCTACAGGGAAATTGGTCAGCGAGGGTTCAAACCAGCAGTGCGCTGAGGTAAGCAGCTCCTTTAATCGCTTGAGTGGATACAGGCCAGCAGTACACCCCGCTCCGTTGTGATTTTTAGGCATTTGATGGATTGATGGTTCTCAGTTCCAGCACATGGACTTCAGCTCTATTAAAATGGTGCTTGTGACCACACACCTACGTGCAACTCGGATGATGCTCTTATTTCTTTAACTCTGAATTTCCAGTGAACATTTGTGAGTGTTTTTTGTTGGTGAAACTGCAAGTTTCTTAAGAGTTGTGTGGCAGTTGTTAAATACACAACTCCGGCTCAACCGAGGCTTTGCTTGGATTATAGTTGTGGGGCCACATGGACGCTTTCCTGCATCTCGTAGCCTAACTAGCGTCCTATGGTTGTCTTGTGCAACAGAAACACAGTAAAGAAAAGGTATTTCATAATGCTGGGAATTTAAGGGTGACCTCTCTAAGTTTTGTCCTAACTGGAGTAGTGAACCCTGACTCCCATTGTTGGAAGCACTGGCCATGCTGCCAGAAAGTGAACTGCTCAGCCCTCTGTTTTACAATATGTTGCTCATTCATTTCTGAGAGATTTTGCCAGTAACAAATTTATCAAATCCAGATGCTTCATTTGCTGAAGACCTAGCTTTCTCCAGAGCCTCACACTGGCCTTAATGCTAATCCTACAGAAATCAAGGGGATTTAGGGCACTTCACTAAGTGTGTTCTGCTACAGGCTATTGCTTCTGGCTTGTGCAGGCTGCCTGTGGCCTGTACCCTAATTAGCATGTTTCACATTTCTTCTTAACTCCCTCTCACCCACACAGGCATTTATGGTAAAAGGCTAAACAGTGACTTGAAGAGGCAAAGTTTCTTTTTTCCAAGGTGCAAGTTTATGTTGTCCTGCCATATGTCCTATGCATTATGGGCAAAGAGAAATGGAGAGATGGGCTTTTACATTTACATCACTAGAAAATGTAAATGTCTTTTGGGGAACGGTGGGAAGAAGGAGAGGCCTTTCTTTAACTGAAAAGCTGTTCAGCATAAGCCATTTTCTAATTCTGTGACTAAACGAAAAGCTAAACTAATCGCCGAGCAGAACTAATCTCTCTTTCAAGTAAGCCATTTCATGGGGCTTGCACTTCACTCAAAGAAAGCCGCTGTAGCCAAGGGGAGGCTTCTGTCGTGCTGAAAACATTACCGCCTCGCAAGCACGGATCCCCATTCTCCGGCCACTCAAGCGCTAGGAGTCACCTCAGTCTTTGCGGTAACTCACTTGGGTTACAGCAGGGACACGTCCAAACTCATTTAACTGTTTTACTACGTGGCAATGGAAGTGAAATTCAGTCTGAGATTAAGGCTTCTACCTTTACAGGTCTGCTTGTGAGCCCTGTTTCTGAGGAGCTGTAGTCGGTGGAGCCCAGAGCACAGTTTGACTCACCTGCAACTCCAGGAGAGGCCTGCTGGGCAGCAATATCTGAGCTTGCTTGGAAAATGAAAAATGCTTGTGCTGAAGTATAGGATAAGCTGCGATGCTGCTAGATACATGTTGTTTAAAATGTTTAATTTTTTAAAAAAGCTTTAGTCCAAAAGCTGATTAATTCAACAAGGGTTTAAATTCGATTAGTCAATGTTTTCAGAAGTTTCTAAACAGAAAATGCATAGGTCAGAAGCCTGCTTGTGCCTGTGGGAAGTAACTGCATGGTGTACTCCTGATAGAGTGTCCAGGGAGGGCAATGAGAGAGGAAAATACCCCCACTGAATCTATGCACTGGTATGTGTTCATAGAGACTCGCCACAAAGCAAAGATACAAGGTTACACAACATATTTGGCCAAATCTTAAAAAAAACCAAAAATATTTAAGACACTGATTATTTTTATGCTGGTTTGTTGTTTGTTGTTGTGGGGGTTTTTTTCAATTGATTTTTTGTTATTTCAATATATTTAAATGGGAGTTTTGAGACAGATAAAATGCATTCAAACATTCAATTTCTACCAATAGTTGAATTATGCTTGGATAAATTAGATTCTGGTTTAGCAGAGTATTAAGTACTTTGTAACACTTCTACATTTTATGGCAGCCTGCATTTACCCGTTCAGTGTCTGATCAAGAGGGCATTCCACATTTGACAGACTGCAAGTGGGGACCACAAAAACTAAATATTAACTCGGATCTTTTAGTAGATACGCATGCACCTGCGTGGACTGAGAAGCCCAAAAAGTATGCAAGAGTTCTCACACTGGTAAAGAAAGCAACCCTTCCATTAGCCATCTGCACACAGACATATCTGTCATTAAACCTGCGTGTATAAACCATGATTCAGGCACTCAAAAATAGCTGCCACAAAGCCCAGTGCCACACACTTCATGAAGAACAGAGCAAATATTTAATGAACTGAGAATGTTACATTTCTACATTAAGAGCACAGCTTGTCTATTTTTAACCAACCTTTTCTTTAGATAAGGCCTTGATCATCTGAGCTGTGATGTGCCCATCTGATTTACCAATAATGCCATCTTCTTTGTGGCTCCTGCTTGGCATTTCTTCTGGTTCTTTATGAATAGGCATGGCTCTTCCAACCACACACATTAGCTTTGTCTCCAGAGGACCCAGCTGTAAGTATTCCTTAAGAACAAAGAATATTATTCTTCTGTAATTACATCGAAAAGCAGCCATTCTTCAAAAACAAACAAACAAACAAACAAAAACCAAACCACCAAAAAAACCCTGCAACTTTCTTTTAAAAGCAACAGTAAAGATGCTGCCCTGGGGTTGCTATGTTTGGTAATGTCAGTGTTAATGGGCTTGGTTTACAAGCCAGCTCGTCTTGAGAGGCTGCAGCCCTGCTGCCCTCTTCTTCTCCAGTATGTTTTCACTAATAACGTTTTCTCTGCAAAACGAATTCTGCTCCCAAGTTCAGTTCTGTGAGAAGAATTAAACTAATCCAACAGCTCACTACTGCCAAGAGAGAGGTCCAAGTCCAGCCACGTGCTTCCACCACGTCTGCACTGGCTCTGGTCATCTCCAAACCTCTGAGTCGGTTCGGTTGACGAACTCAACAGAAAACTAATTCAGGAGGAGAAGCTTTTCTGCTGGTTAGTGAGTGAATCGGCTACAGAAAAGGCCAGTGTGTACTACGGGTTCCCTGAGGGCAGGAGCAGGACCATACAGCCAAGGCCAGGAAGAGGGAAGCAGGAACCTTACAGTGCAAGCTCTTGAATCATCTCTGTTTAGTAAATGATTTCATAATAGTTGCCAATGCAACTCCACCATTTGCAATTATACCTTCGTTGTTATAAAGTACAAGAACGTCAGCAGCCCCAATGTCCCTCAGTGGGGCGGGCTCTGCTGTGCTAACAGCAGGAAGAAAGGAGTAAAGCTAGTATTCCTCTCCCAAGGCTACAAACACCTGGACAGATTTTTTTTTGTTGTTAAATGTTCAGCTTTTCTATGTAATGACTCTTCAGGACAGAGACACTCCTTAAGCTGGTCTCTGATCAAGGCAACAGGATGATTTTTCTGAACACAAGTTGCAGGGTATTAATCAAACTAATGCCCAATTTCCAGAAAAAGAGTTGTTGGGGTTTTGTTTGTTTGTTTGTTTTTAACTCATTATTGAGTATGTTTGAATAGAATATTCAAGAGTAAAAAAACATTATGGAGAAGTATCTTTACACAGCAAGCCCTGCAGTCTACAGCATGTCCGTATCATCATCTTCAATTTGCGGTAGAAATCAATGATGTATATTAATGTATTTTCCAATGATAATTAATTTAGTTAGAAATGTATACAAGTCTTTGTAAATCAAGAGTGCAGTATCAAAGGCACCCAGGAAACATCTTTTTGCAACCTAGGGTCGAGGAATCTCCTGAAGCAGGTGCCACCACCACTTTTGAGAACCACACAAACTCTGTACCTTTTTATTTTCTCAACCCCTGTATTTTGCACCTAGGAACAACTTCATCTTGGCTTTCTGTTGAAGGAATAAATTACTTGTTGATCCTTTAATGCTACTATGCCACAAATTCTAAAGGACCAGTATCCAGGCAAATAAGTCCTTAGAGTACCATAGAAAGCTGTCACTAGGTGACATTCAGAGTTCTTTCTAGGGGGAATTTCATCCCAACACTCCATGTGAGGCCGGCCTGCATGACACAGAACCTATGCTCTTTTGGCCCAGCATCTGAAGGACAAGGATGTCCTAACCAGCTCAAATAGCACCAGGTGCCTATGATTAAGCATCTGAATTGTACACTAGGTAAAAGACATTGGAGGTTTTTTCTGTTGTAGCAATGCTGGGAATAGAACGCTCCTGGCGGTAGCTCATGCTCCGTACTGAAATACGGTTGTGTCAGTGAAAGACCTGGTTACTTTAACTCATACCTGGAAATCTTTTTCAACTGTGTACAACAAGCTATCAAGAGTTGGAGTGAACGACTTCTCCCACAGCTCCTCATCACCGCCTTGAGCCTTCTCATTCTCTGTTTTAGACTGAATCTCTGGAAAGGCTTTTTTTTTCTGACAGGGAACTCTGGCACTTCTGAGGCTTTCATCTCCATCTGTCTTTGCTTTTTAAAGAGAAGAGCAATGATTTGTATGTAATTGTTAAGCTTTATGAAGATCAGAATTAGTACTTGGTATGAGCATTGCCTGCAATCTTTAATGTGGCTTGGCCAGTGTAAAGATGTAAAGAACAACTTGGTAGGATTTTTAATTGGCAATCCAAGCCAAATGTTGTTTTTTCTCACTGATTTTTCTATGTTTATTTCTGTTCATAATTTCTGATCACGATCAGGGACTGAAATTGATTGGGAGTTAGAAGTAATGGGTCTGTAAGATGAGGCAGGGGAAAAAATGAGCTTTTATCAGTTCAACTTAAATCCTGTATAGCCCTGAATAGTTAAAAAAAATAGGAAAGGCAGCAAAAACAAGTATAAACTTTTTCTGTATCTATGTATTTATCTCTATACGTACATACCTACAAGTTCCTGAAACACATCTAGTCTACTTCTAACTCCCCCGAAGAGCTCGCATTTGCAGTTGACTAATTCGCAGGATGACAATTCTGGACATGAACTGCCACGTTAAACACCTGCCTGGGACAGTGACTTGACCCCAGCTTATTGGAACAAAACCTACTCCTCCCAGTAACTATTGTAAAGGTCTAGCAAAGGTAATAGAGCTGAACTGTTCAAAGTGAACATATATCTAATTCAGAAGTCTTAGTCAATATGTTTGCTGGTGCCTGATGGTTCCAGAAGGGCCCACCTATGTCTGGAACTGATCAGAACTTCAACAGACCTGTTCATGTAGCCATAACTGTATGGTTTCAGTTTTTGCAACTTTCATTTAATTTTGTCCTTTTTCCCCCTCTTTCTTCTACTCACACAAAGATGTAAAATACAATGTGATATTAAGAAATCCGTAGAAACCACCCTAAACAGGTAAGCACACCCGCATGGTCCTTCTTGCCTAATGGTATATCCTTTTCCTGGGCACACCAACCAGAATAGATGGAGATTTGGTACTGCTTACCAAGATTTTCAGTTCAGGCTGAGCTCCGTGCAGCTTCACCTGCTCTTGCCAGGGATTCATTAAAATTAACTCTGGTTAATTCTCTATGAGCTGAATGACTGTAAAGTGACCACATGTACACTGCAAGTGAAAGCCAGTGTAGAGTTCAAGAGTGTCCTCCCACGGACAAGATAATAACGACGTTATGTTGGTATGGATCAGTAAATAACTGATTAAGATATGAATCATATTTTTGTAAAAGTTGGCTGATCCAATTATCCGCATTCCAGGCTAGCTCTGTATCACTAGCATTCTAAACACCAATTTCAATTTTAAAACTATATTCCAGGTAGATTGTGGAAATGTCTTATTAATGCAAACTACAGTCTATCACTGCTGTCATGGCTGCAATTAAGCAGGAAATTAAGTGTTCGCCATGTAAAACAGGCAGTTTGATAAAAAACTTAAGAAATAAAAAGTATTTAAACATTCAGTGACTTATCAGTTCTTATAAACTGCTGGCATGTGCATTACCTGCGTACTGTCTATACTCTACTTCTTTCATTTCATCCTTAGGAAATTCATCTTGCAAGCGAGCTGCCTGGGTAAGAAACAAACGCCTATGAAATAAAAAAAAATAACGTGAAACTCACATTAGAGGTCTGAATTTTCTCTCTAAATTGTCCTGTGCAATCTTTTGGAGTGAGGGGGTGGGGATTCTTTCTGAAAGCTGTTTGCTCTTAACCACAAATGCAGAACAGTGCAATGGTTTAAAAATGCAATGGAGGCAGCCAGGTAGTTTAGTGGCTAATAAGCTGCTCTTTCTTGTTATTAGTCCATAAGTTCAGCTATGTCCATGAGACTAAAAGAAAACAAATGTTATAGTGTCCAGTCAGCCCAAGCTTCAAACCACAGCTGGCAGCTCTCACTTAAAAGCAGTCCAAAGTTTGGAGAGGAGAGAAAAATGGTCACTTCTTAAGACTTGGAACTTTTTTATGCAATATGGCTGAAATCACTGTGCTGGGACTGGAAAATGAAGATGGATCGTTCCGATTGTTACATTGTGCTTTTGATACCATTAGTGTTGACATTTTGCAGCTAAATTAATCTTTTTGTAGGGAACAAGTTAAATAATTTCAATATAAAAGAAACTAATACTACAGACACCTCTACAGACAGACCTATCTCAAGGCCGCTTCCTTACTCTGTACCAGGTCATCTGTTTCACCTGAGATTGCAAAACCCCATATATTTGCATATTAATCTTCACATCCTTAAACATTTTGCCAACAGTAAAGGAAAAATCTATTACTCAGCACTTGGTCTGAGACAATTACAACAGAAAGAAACTATTTCAAGCCCCAATGGTATCCCCACTAAAAGGAAGTAAGTGTTGCTAGGTCTTAATAGATTATTAAAGAACCCAATTTCTTCCCTGAATTTTGGTATTTAGGAGGTTACAATGTCACTGTCATCCTTCAGAGACACAAGTCCCACACACACTCAGTCAAATCCTGCCTCCCCTCAACTAAGAAACTGCCTTGACTTTGTTGTGGGAGAGCCCAAATAGCTCTAGAGGCAGGAGAAGGCATCGTCTTTTTTAAAAAAAATTAAAATACTCTTCAGTCTGTAAAGGAATCATTTTACCTGGGTACTCTCAGATTCTGAAGTCTATCATCGATCAGTTTTGTCACTAAACGGATATTTTCTTCTTCCAGGAGCTGAATAGAGGCTTTCAAATCATTTACTTCCTTTCGGTACATCTTAACCTTTTGACAATTAAAAAAAAAAAAAAAAAAAAAAAAGGTCATCTTAGAAAGACTATATCCATTTTGGAAAGCTTTTCTAGTAACTATCTTAATCGCACATACCTAGGAAGAATGCAGCTGTATCAGCAAAACAGCAAGACTGCACATTTGGTGGAGAAACAGCAATGTCGTGACACATTTTCAGCAAAGAGAAGGCCTCTCTGGTTCTTTCACACCTTTTTTAGAATCCTTTACTGGCACAACTCTATCAATCACAGCCACACATTTGGGCTATGCAACCCTGATAGCAAAACCTTCTCAAGTAGCCAAACACGTCTGGTAGACAGAAGCTCTGGGTTTTTCTTTTTCTGCTTTCACAGAGCCCTGAGAGAGAAAAACCTTCTTTGTAGAGTTAAAGTCAGGCTCTTGCTTAGCAAGCGTTGCTTTTCTAATTCCTGCCTTTACACAAAATCTTCTTACCCAGAATTAGTGAAGCTTTCAGTCTAAGTTAGCCGCGAAATTGGCTAAATCCCAGATTCTAATTTCTTTTGGACTGGTAATCGCCCCATATTGCCATGAAGTTTTATTAACCAAAGGATACCAGTTAAGTTCCCACAATTCCTCTCACTTTTCCTGAAGTACAAGCAAGTTCTTACCCCTTTTACTGGGAAGCGGAATGTACTGTGGGACAGATACCTTCCCGGAAATCTTAGGCATACACACATGTTTAAAAGCAGTACCTAGTGATCTGAACACATCTGTTCTCACCAAAGCCAAATTAACCCAGCTATAATCATCCCAATTTGCAGTTAAAAACTAGTTCCCATTTCTCCCGGGGATTAAAAAAAGGTGAAAATGACAGGACATTAACCAGTAACAGGATGTGGCTTGGCACGATGAGGTGATGCAGCTTTGTACTGTCTTGGTGTGACACAATAACCATGGAAAAATGCGACTGAAGTCTCCAAATCTGTTCAAATTTGGAGGTAACGCGTTTAGGGCTGTTTTGGTAAGTCATTTTTCAGTTCAGTGGCCAAACTGAAAAAAAGATAAATTTTGAATCAGGGCAAAACTGAAATTTTTGGTTTATCTCCCCAAAATATGCTGGAAGAATCTGTCAGCTACATATAAACATTAGCCTGAAAGAAAATATTTCATCTGTATAAGAAAATCTGAGAAAGTGAATGGATGAATTCAGAGGACTGGAGAAGTTAGTGATAATAGTTTTGTTTTCCACGATAATTCAAAGTGCTAATTCATAACATAGGGAACTAGTAACATAGGAAACTAATTTATAACATAAGAAACTTCTAGTTGAGAGGAAAGAAATCCAAATCCCTCAACTCCAAGGTAAGGGCCTGTCAGGACATAAGAATACTCCAAAGTGGATCTCCCTTGTTGACACTGCCTAATGTGTGTAAAATTCATCAGTGTTCAGTAAGACTGGCAGATGGGAAGGGAATTCTTGCTCATTCAAGTGATAGGATGTATAGATTCAAACTCCTGTTTGTTCATTCAGACTAAAACATTAATTCTTTCCTATTGACCCCCACTTCATTGCCTCAGAAGCTGTGGTTTGGACACCCTCCCTGGAAAGTTAAAGATGTAGGCTCAGAGCTCATTAAGGGGAAGAAGAAAAGCCATATCCCTGCATACTGGCATATTATTATTATAAATAATAATAAATAAATAAAATAATAAGCTTATTTATTAATTTCCCCAAAAGTTTTGCTCAGTTCAAAACTGTGAGGTTGTAAAGGTGGGGCAGGGTATTTCCTCCCTCCAATCTCTTGCTTAGATTTGATTGCAACAAAGAACTTGTATTGATTGGAACAAACACAAACTTTCACCATGGAAAAATCAATTTCCTAAATTCGGCTTGCAAAAAAGTTTTTCTCGTTTGTTTTTAATCAAGAAAAGTTTTTCTTGACAAGAAAAGTTACAACTGTCTAATATATAGCTCTAAATTGCTATTAAAGGACAGTTCTAGAGTCACAGAATCATAGAATCATTTGGGCTGGAAGGGACCTTCAGAGGTCATCTAGTCCAAACCTCCCTGCGGTGAGCAGGGACATCTCCAACTAGATAAGGCTGCTCAGAGCCCCATCCTGCCTGACCTTGAATGCCTCCAGGGGTGGGGCTTCCACCACCTCTCTGGGCAACCTGTTCCATGCTTCATCACCCTCATTGTAAAAAAATTTTTCCTTATGTCAAAGAAGCTATTAAGAAGCTATCAAGTAATTAATTGCAACTATACACGATTTTGATTTTCCTCTCTTCAGTGTATTAATCTCCAGGGTTTCTTTATTATCTCCCATTTAAAGCTGTCTCAAGCCCTTTCTCCAAAAATGTTTCCAACATCCATATCTGTTTTCTTTTAATACAGCAGCACTAGAACTTCAATGCAATTCAAAACTACCCTCCGGATACTTACATGGTTGAGCCTTTACACTATATAGTATCCCAGTCTCCATAGATATAACTACTTCATTGTATGGAACATTGTAGTCCTTCATATAACTGCTTGGTCAGGAAAAGGGGTCTTTCATTGTGAAAGCAGATATTCTCTTACGTTTCTTTTAAAAGGTTCTTTTACCTTTATTCACCACATACACTGTTTGCTACTCAGGATTACAGATTAGTTACAAGAAAATTGCTCTCCTTTTCCTATCAAAGTATTCAGAAGCCCATCACTAGAAACAGTTATGACTGTAGGCCATGGTATTTCAGACCTGAACTACCACAATAAACTGTACGCAAGTAATCCTCTTACCTCTTCTTTTAGCCATTCATTCTCTTCAATTTCTCTGCGACTGTTTTTGTCTAAGTATCTTACAGCATTCTGAGAAAACACAATTTAAGATCATCTCATCTGAAGGCAGGACTTTGACAGTGCTGCATACTATAAAGAACCACCT